GAGAGTCTACAGGTCATAGGTTTAAAAAATGGGAAAATTTTTTAAAAGGAACATGATCCATAGTATCTAAAAAGCAAAACCATGAATCAGCTTAGTATTTAGTCCAGGGGGAAGGTTAGGTAGTGTATGGCTTGTACACTGAAAAAGAATCCGTGAATCTGAACAACTCCAACAAGTGTGAAGAGTGGGGAGGAATGTGGAAGAGTGACCGTGGGTAGTAGTAATCGTATAACAGGAGGCTCACCAGCCGTGCGCTTGTCACTCACGTGACTGCCTCCTGCGAGTGGGTGCCTGTGTCATGGGGGCGGGGAGCTGGGAAAGAGCGGGAAAACACTGAGGAAAGTTGGAGAGGGCGGGGGGATTTTGTTGTTATTTCTCAAACTTAGTCTAACATTGACGTTATACATATTTTTTCTAAGAAGAATATTAAAAGAATATTTTAAAACCAGTGGTATACTCCGAGATGTTAAAACGATTCTGTCTGGGTGGTAGCATTAAATGGAATTTTAACGATTTGTTAATAATTTCTGTATTTGCTTATTTTTCTCCACCGAATATTTAACATTTATAATTAGACAAGAGCAATGCAGCAAATACTCACTGTCTCGCCTTTCCCACCTGGGGCAGGTAGACTTCCCCATTGGCCTGGGCATGGCCACGTGACTTGCTTTGGCTGGTGGGTTGATGGTAGACGTGACTTAGCAAATTTCTTTGTGTAGTAGAGGCCTTGCCCCCTCTGCATCTGCCATCACCGTGAGAAAACACAGCCCGGGTAGACTGTCCAGCCAAGAAGAATGAAAGGCGTGTGTAGCAGCTCTTGACTCAACCCTTAGGTTGGGGCCAAGGCCCACAGAGCTCGTTCCTGAACAGCTGGCCCCAGGCAACATACGTGTGAGTGAGAAGAAATGGTGATCGTTTGTTTTTTTAATCCTCACCCAAGGACATGTTTTCATTGCTTTCAGAGAGAGGAAGGCAGAGAGAGAAACATTGATGTGAGAAACTTCAGTTGGTTGCCTCCTGAACGTGCCTTGTTGGGGCATTGAACCCACAACCTAGGTATGTGTCCTGGCCAGGAATTGAACCCACAACCTTTTAGTTCTGGGATGATACTCCAACCAATTGAGCCACACTGACCAGGGCGAAAGGATGATAGTATTAAGTCACTGAGATTTGGGCCGGTCTGTACAGCATTACTTGAATATAACTTGGTGATAAAGTTTCATTTTCAGCATCAACTTTCTTAGCAAAATTGTCTTTCTTTTTCATTGTTTTTTTTAAAAAAAAATTTACTTATTTTTTTTTTAGAGAGGGAAAGGGAGGGAGAAAGAGAGAGAGAGAAACATCAATGTGTGGTTGCCTCTCACATGGCCCCTAATGGGGACCTGGCCTGCAACCCAGGCATGTGCCCTGACTGGGAATCGAACCTGCGATGCTTTGGTTCGCAGCCTGCGCTCAATCCACTGAGCTACTCTAGCCAGGGCTTCTTTTATTCTTTTTGCTCCAGCTTCTACTCTTCTCAAATGCTGTCCCACAGAGGTGGCCCCGGCTCGGAGTGACTGGGCTACTTTTTAGCTGGGAGAGGAATGGTAACCTGTAGAGACATTTTAAGAACCCGGAACACCAAAGGCTTGAAATCAATGATGAAATGACACGGAAATGGCAAGGCTGCGCCTACCATCAATAGCATTATTAACCCAATTGATAACTCTCACAAAGCTCAATGACTGTCCTGCTCACGTGGGCTCCTCAGCAGCCCCACGGCATCGCCCCTTGTCACAGTCATTTCTCAAAACTGTTTGCTGCTGCAGAGTGACAAGGATGCAGCGGGGTGGGGACGAACCCAAAACCCAAGCCAACCAACGCTCATCTGCAGAGTTTACACCAGTGCGTTGTTGCAAATACCAGATACAAATGTCACAATTCAAGTCCTAGTTGTGGGGGCTCCAGGATGGGCTGGCTTCTGGGCTCCCAGGGGTGGTTTCTTTAAATGTCTTCTCGGTGGGTTTTTCTCTCCCCCGGAGACACAGCTCACTGCAGAGAGGGAGAGCGTGCGAGAGGCTGTCCTCCCCGGGGGAGACCCCTCACGTCTGCTGCGGAGGCCCAGGGGCGGGGCAGGAAGGACAGGCTCGAGGACGGGGACCTGCCCGGTTAGCTGCCACCGCTGCCCTGCGTGAGCTGTGCGTCCGTTTGCTTTTGTCCGGGTTGGGTCCCATCTGCGGTCTATAGCGTTTCCCGAAGCACGTGGCCTTGCCTGGGGTGGTTTGGGTCCTCACTGAGGGCGTCTCGGTTAGGTGCTTGTTCCAGGTGACTGTTGCAGGAATGACTCGGCCGCCTGCTCCCTGTGTGTCTGTACAGCGAGCCTGTGCCGAAACCACAGCTACTTCAGAGGGTTGTTGTTTTTTTTGTTTTTTGTTTTTTGTTTTTTTTACAAAGATTCAGTAAAGCAATGCCTTGGTTTTCTTTAGCAGGTTTCCTTAGCTATCGGCTGAAAGCGAAATGAAACAATCCCCTAAATCTTGTATTGTGATATTTGCACATACATGATATACATGTTCATTGAAAGAAGAGTAGAAAAGAGTTACCCAGAATTCTACCATCCAAAGACACCAGCATTACCACACTGACCTGCAGCCTTCCAACGGTTTTCCTTGTGCACACAAAAACGGGGTCACCTGTGTCCTTCGTAACTTGCTTTCCCCACTAACAAACGACCATGAGCATATTTTCTTGCCAATAAATGTGTCCATAGTATGTGCATTAATGATTAGATAATACTTCATTTTATGGGTGGTTGGTGAAATATAATTTTATATATCTAATCCCCTATTTTTATTTCTTTCCTCATTTTTTGCTCTTATAAATAACTCTTTGATGGAATACTTATAGACATAGATTCTTGAACAAAGGACTGGTCAGTTTTAAAGGTATATTTCTGGATGTGGAATTACTGGTTAAAACCACAAATATTTTCATGTCACTTTGTACATATTGTCAAATTGCCTAACAGAGAAATTCGGGCAACTCCAGTTCTCATTGGTAGAGAACAAACACACTCATTTTACCATATTCTTGCTAATACTAGGTCTTTGTCAGTTTTTAACATTTGTCTACTTGACAGGTGATAACTGATATTGCATCGTCATTTTCTTTGTGTTTCTGTGATCACTGCTGAAGAGGAAACTATTTTTTATATTGATCGGTCATGTCCCTGATCATTAAAAATTTAAATTTCACATGCAGGAATCCTTACTGACATGCAGGAACTCTTTGTTATTGGAAGATTTAAATTTTGCCTTATATATTATAAATATTATTTTTGTTTTTTAAAATCCTCACTTAAGGATATGTTTATTGATTTTTAGAGAAAGGAAAGAGGGGGTGAGAGAGAGAGAGAAACATTGACATGGGAGAGAAATGTCGATCGGTTGCCTCCCATATGCTCCCTGACCAGGGACCAAACCCACAACCTCGGCATGTGCCCTGACCAGGAATCAAACCCTTAACCTTTCTGATGCGTGGGATGACGCTCCAACCAGCTGAGCCACCTGGCCAGGGCTATTCTCATTCTTCATTTGTCTTTTAACTTTTGAAGTTTTGACATTGCGTATACTTGAACATTTTATGTAATTAAATCTAGTAATGCATTTATTTTCACCTTCACCTTATGATTTCATGTTCAGAGAGAACTTGAATACTTCTTAAAGCACTTTCATCTCAGGGAGACATACACCTGGTACGTCTTCCGAGTCTCTGGCAGCCTGAGCAGGCGTTTCTGCGGCCCTCACGTACGAAAACGCCTGGGCCGCGTGTCTGACACACTCTTCCGTCCTCAGAACTCTACAGAGAACATTCCACGGTTTTCTGAAATGTACAGTTAAGAGATGTGTCTGGTGCCAAAGGGAGTTCTCCTCCGCATCTGTACCCTGGTTAGTTGTCTGCTGGGCAGAACGATTGTAAGATTTTCCTTCCCCCTTGGAATAAAAAGAAAAAGTAGGACGTGATGGAGAGAGAGGCTGTTGTACGCTTGGGCCCGGCGCTCAGTGGGGTGCGGGGTTGAAGACAAAGATGGCCTCGACTCAAGAAAGTTGCCTTTTATTGTTTGTTTGGTCGCCGTTTCCCCTCTGCCCGATGTTCTCTCCTTCCTGGTTTCCTGTTCCATCCCAGGACCCACCGGCATGCCTCTTATGGGAGTTCCAGAATTCTCCCAGCTGGCTGGCTGGCTCGCCCTTCAGTTTTTGTGTTGTCCACCACCGAGGGCTGGTCAGGAGTGCCACTGCGTTCTCACACGGGTAGTCATTGTCTCTCCTAAAAGGAGTCTTCCTTGATCTTACAGCATTCTCTTTTCATGGCTACAGTGGACTCTCGACTGTCGTTGAGAGTCTGAACTTAATATTTTATAAAATGTCACTCTTTTCCTACAGCAAGTTTTTTCAAGCAAACACTCTTCTTTTGAGATCGTGAGTGTTATTTTACATGCCCAGATATCTCTGGGCTTGCTCATTCTTCACAGGAGGGTCTATGTTTGCCCCGTCTGGGGGCGTGGGAAAGGTTCAGGGAGGGTTTACTTAGGTTCTCGTCGGATTTCTTCAGTCTGAGAAGAAGGGGCCAACAGAGAATCGGTCATTTCTGCACTTCAGTGTCTCCGGGTCAGAGTTTCGCTTTTCTAGGAGAGGCGCAAGGGAACCGCACCCAGAGGTGCTATAGGACAATGCTTTCCCATGGGCCGTAGTGTCCTTTCGGCCAGGCAGGGGCACCGGTTCCCCTCTCGGACGGACGCGCTGGCCCCTGTGCTGAGCCTGTTACACTGACGCCCCCCCGCCCCCCATTTCTTACCACGTTGTCTGAAACCAACTGAACTGGAAAGGGCATGCCCTTTCCGGCAGACTTTACTGAGCGGGGAACTTTGCACCTGTTTGGAGCCGGCGTCGCATGTAGAGACAGCAAGGGGAAGCAAACCCACGGGCCAGCGCGTCAGGGTGACCGCTGCCGACACGACTTACCAGGGACATCTGCGAGGCTGTGATCCATTCGGGAGGGATGTGAAAGTGAGCCCCCGCCGAGTCTCCCAGCAGAACGATGCCCCTGGGCTGGGAACCTGGGCGGCACAAGGGACCTGCATTATTTATGCTCTCAGGTGGCCTGACGCCTCCAGACTGAGTGGTCGGGGGAGCGGATGCCCTGGGTGTGTTCCATGCCCAGAGCATCGTAGCAGTGAGGCATGGCCTCCTTTTGCGTGTTGTGGGGTGGGGGTGGGGGGCATAGCATTTCGGAGCCAGATGAGATTTCTAGGCCATGGAGATTGCGAGCTATAGGCTGTGCCGATGAAGGTGTGTTTCCTAGCTCATAACACAAACTGCCGTGAGATATCCCCGAGTGAATGACGGATGAATAAATGGGTCAGAACTTCCTGTGAACTCAGAAACATGCCCTACAGTTTGGTTCTGGTAATTGCTTCTTGGAAAACATACTAATTTCTGTGATAATTCACTTTAAGAATTACTGATCTCATGCAGCAAATTTGATTTGTTAAAGACATCATGACCCTTAAAGCTCTTAATCCGGATACTCATATACAAAAAAGCACTGGATGGGTGACTCTGGCTGGTCAAGGGCGAGGTGGAGAAAGGAGGTCTCTGTGCAGCCTGCTGTGTTGGGAGGTTAAGACTCACGTAATCTGACTCTGGGGCCCATCTGCACAAATCATCCACCCATGGGTGATGCCTGCGCTCTTCCAAGTCCCTTAAGGTCCTGGAAGAATGCACTGATGCCTCCCAGAATCAGAGAGGAAGCTTCCTTCCTCCATCTCCAACCAGCCCCTGCCCTCCCGCCCCGCCCCCTGCCCCGCCCCCCGCCCCGAGGGCCATCAGCCTCACTTCAGCTACTTCCTGTCTGGGGCATCTGTGACAGTACCTGGCCACACGAATGGTGACAGAGAAGGCCCAGGACATCTGGCAGGGGTTGGGATGTGGGGAATTCAACAGGCTTCCCATAGTGTCCCCAGAGCCTTGTGCCAGGATTTCACTTAGATTGGAGTTTATTTATTCCCCAGTTTATTTGTGCATTCATTCTTTAATTCATCCAACAAGCACTCCTAAACTCGTAACTATGGGTTGGGTCTTTATATTTTCAGCCTCCTTCCTGCCCTTCTGCCCCTCTGAGAGCTTAACTGTCCTTATTATACCTTAAGTCGACTGGGGGCAAGGACTGTACCATGTCTGCTCATGAAAACTCAAAGCCAAGTACAGCTCTTGGTACTTCATAGGAATAGACTTTCAGCAAATACCTGTTGAATGAACAGGTATTTGAGTGAATGCTTGAGTGAATGAATGAAATGTTTCTAAATGTGAGGGAAAACTATTGCCTAAACATAGAACGGTGATGCTACCACAGGTTCTTATTTGGGCATCTCTGGAGCACGTTTCCAGTGATATGTGGGCAGTACTAGGTTTTTCCTAACAGTCCCGGGAGCCCGGATGTCCGAGGCATTTAGGCATTTAGAATGCAGAGCTTTGGCTCAGCTCCTTTTGGGAACCCCAATGGCTGCCGCTTGGAGGTTTCCGGTGAGTCATCCAGGTGTCTTTACCCCGGGTGACACAGGGACTCCGTCAGTTCAAGCCCAGACATCTGAGCTTGCCGTGTTTTGAGAAGGACACGGAAAAGATGAAAAACGATCCCCTCCAGTTATTTTCTTATTTGGAGAAGCGCTGGATTTCAGTTACTCTGTTTTCTATGTTGCGGCTTTTTCTAACGTTATCATTCAAACTCCCGATCCTCAGATGAGGGAGACAAGTAAATTTAGTTTTGCTTTCTCTGGATTTTTGCCTCCTTTCTCTAGAACCCTTTTCACATCTCCTTCGGATTTGTCAGGAAAAGAAATGCAAATTGGCCAAGTTTAGGTTGTGGCATCAGGCCCTCCCTCGCTTGGGTGGTCGATTCCCTTCATTTGACTCAGACCAGAAGAAAACACCCCGTTGTAATAGCCAAACGGGCTTGCACAGCTCCTACCTTCGCAGAATTTCTTCTCATAGGGAATCCCATCTTTTGGATCGACACCCTTTAAAGGAGAAACGATGGGATTAGCGGTTTGTTTTTGAATTTATGACACAGATACACTAAATCCCCCCCCAAATGGCCCTACAGGTACAGAAGCAAATCAGTAGGTAAACCCTGCAAAGTCTCTGGAGTCCTTCCTCCCGCATAGCCACCCTCCGCGCAAGCGAGTCGGGATTTACGGAGCTGGTCTCCAACGACAAGCGTCGATACTTCTAGAGCTGTGGTCTTCCATGGGGGGCTGTTTTTGCCCCCCTCCCCCACCCCAAGGGACATTTGGCAATGCCGAGAGAAAATTTTGGTTGTTGCAAGGGGGCGGGGAAGGGAGAGGGAGCTACTGGCACCTGGCGGGTAGAGCAGAGATGCTGTGGAACAGCCTGCAGTTTACAAGGCGGCGCCAACAATCGAGAATCGTCCCACCCAGATGTCACCACGCCGACGCGGAGACGCCTGACCGTGAGGTCGGGTCTGTGAGGGGGCCCGAGTTGGCGTGACAGAAGGGCTTCCGCACACCCCACACAGAGGCTGTCCCCGGTGGGGCGGCTGGCCCCTGGGAGGTTACAGCGGAGTCTGGAGGACTTTAAGGGAAAGCTTTCAGATATATATGGATGTATGCACTTATTGTTGTTTTCCGTTTTCTTTTGCTTGCCACACTGCAGTCTGGAGAGCACTGGCGCACCACTAGATAGTGACAGTTGTATTCACTGCATTCCAAGACAAAGGTGCTCGGGGGTCGGAGATGTGCTAGAAGCAGCGTGTTTACTCTCTTGGTCTTGGGGGCTCCCGATGCACGTTACAGCATCAGGCATTCTGAGAAGTCCGGAAGCAGGTGGAACTGTCCAGGTGTCTCCGGCCCAGTGCTTCCTGGACGTGACTGCAGAACCCCTCCCCAGCACCTGTTAGCACTGGGGTTCTGGGGAAGCTGTTGGGGAAATAATAGGCTGGATGGCTGTAAAATCCCCCCTGAGTTTACGATTTCAAGAGCCTGTGAGTCACTCTCCCTCTGTGGGAAGGGGCGGGTGTGAAGGTCTTTCTGCCGTGACTGCCTCGGTCCCTGCGCTCCTGGAGGATTTCCATCGGTCAAGTGCAGTCTCCTGCTGGCCTTCCTTAAGCAGGTGGCGCAGCATGTCAGAAGCAGGGACGGGGCCACGGAACAAGGACAGCGGTCTCACACACCCATCAACCCCCTCTGTCCTCCAACGTGACACCTTAGCTGGAGTTTACCAGAGTAAGAGCTGCCTTGGGGGTCTTGGCACCTTAAGATCTAGGGGACGTGTTTTCTCCTCCTCATGAAAAGACAGTGTGACTGGAGGATGGGGAGGCCTAGGGTACAATCTGTCCTTTTTACCGCACCCCAGACACCATGGACCGTCCGTGTCCTGGAGACAGGGAAATGTTTACAGAAATGTTCCCCAGGTCATCCAAGCAGATCCACGAGGCAACTCTTCAGAGGCCATTTATCTCGAAGCCAGGGAATCTTAAACATCAGGGCTCCTATTAGCACAATCCCTGCTTCTGAGGGTGCTGGGAGCGGCTGGGAGCCACAGAGTGTTCTGGGTGGAGAGGAGAAGCCAGGCTGCATTTGGGACATAATTTCCACATAAGCATTTGTGAGAAATCCATAAAGAGATCTCCAAAGAAAGGGCCTGCATTTCTCAGGCTCCAGTAACTGGTTAGAATTTTTTTCATTGTTCTAAGCAACTGTTTAGTCTATACTTGATGGTGTATCTGTAATTGGGTGTTGAGGACCCCTCTCATCGCATAAGCTCCAGGCCCCAGGAAACCTGGGTCCGCAGCTGCCGCTGTCCTCACCTGTGTGTTTGGCCGGCTTTCCCCCTCCCTTCCCCTGTCTCTGTCCGGACACGGCAAGCCCATCACTCACAGGGCCCTGGACCCCCAGAGCTGGACGCCCCACGGTGCGGTCAGGACAGCGCACGGTCCACACTGCCTGACTCGCCCTAAGAACCTGAAGGGAAGCGGCCGCAATGACACGGTGACAGCCCTCGCTTTGCTCTAGCAGACGTTCGGGTCGCTGTGAAGCTTTGCCGACGCTGCTCTCCATTTAATTTCGGACTGCTCCGAGAGGATGAGGAGGTGAGGTGTGGGTGGCCCTCGGCAAGGCTTACAGGGAGGGGCTCGGACAGCAGGGGCCCCACCTCCTGCGAGGAGAGCACAGCTTTGGCCCGTCGTCCTCTTCCTCAGGCGTGACAATCACAGATAAGGAGCGGGGTCTCGGGAGGGCAGGCCCAGGTTTAAGTGCGCTCGCTTACCCAGATGCCGTTGCAGTTGGAGTCCCGGTGCGCATCCCAGTTGTCGGGTCTGGGGAGAAAACGTTGGCATTGGTCTTTGGCACACACTGGTCCCCCAGCACCGTCAGCTTCGTGGGCGGATGCCCCATGAGCTGTACCCAGAGTGTCACTGAGAGACAGCAGGCTGTCCTGCTGTGGCATTTGGAACCTCTGCTCGGCCCCTTGGCCATTATCCCGGTGAGGGGTGTTGGCTGGAAACGCCGCCAGACCCAGCCTTCTCACGGTTGATCTGTCCCCGCAGCGCGTTGCTGTGGGCCAGCGCCAATGGGCGGACTAAAGGAACCTGCAGTCCGCTTTATTGGGGTATCCGACGCCATTAAAACGGTGCACCTCAAGTCCCCGACACCTGGGTGCTTTGGCACCGTGGTCACAGTGAAGGTGACGTATCCAGTGTCTTGAAGGGAGAGAAGTGATTGGCTGAACAGCAGCCCAGGACTAGAATGTGACGTGGTTGTCACTCACTGGAGCCCTCCCCTAAGTCCTGGCGGGAGGGGCGACTATTTCCCCGCGTGAGCCTGGGGCAGGTGGCTGGGAAGACGCCCAGAGCAGCTGTTCCTCCCACTAGACTGTAAGCTCCACGGTGGAGGAGGAGGCCTGTTGTCCTTCTGCTCAGCACCCAGCAGGGTGCAGCGGGGCTGGCAGTCAGCGGGTGCTCGGGAGTCTCTGGTGGAAAAAGAATGTTCTTGTTTCACCGAGCTTTGCCTCAGTCAGTCGGGATGGGGGCCCTCCTCTCTGGGAGCGTGAACCCCCAGGGCTGGGGGAAGGGGTGATGCTTCCTGCCTCCTTTTCAGAGGGCAGTTTTCCGGGCCAGTGGCCGGCAGAGACGCTTACCTCCTGCCGGGGTACGCCGTCTCGTCGCTGTCGTTGCAGTCCCGCCCCCGCCAGTGGTAGCCGCGCAGAGTCTGAAACCCAGGAGCACGGGAGAAGGGTCAGTCCTGCCGGACCTTCACGGGGAGGGACAGTCAGAGCTGCCTGGGGGGACTGGCCTCGGCCGTCTGTAACCCGAACACCGTCCAGGAACGCTGGCCATCGCTAAGGACGCTAAGGGGGATGATGATAAAATACAATGGGGGCGGGGGTGAAATGTGTCATAGCGCCAGGGCCAACAGCAGGGGGCAGTGTGTGCATATGTGAGTGTGTGTGAACGTGTGTGTACACACTGCTGGGTGTGTGCCTGTATGTGGGTGCAGGGGGGGTATACACATGTGAATATGCATGCACGCGGGCATGTTGCACACACATGTGGGTATGCGCGCACACATGTGCATATGTGTGCCTGTGAGCACATATGTGTCTCTGTGTGTCCCTGTGCATGTCCACCACCTATAGGACCATCCAACTCCCTGAGCTTTCTGTGTCACTCACCAGTCTTGTGGGGCTTTCATCGATTAGTTTATTTGGTCAAATGATCAATCATTTTACTGGATAATTAAAAATCTCTAGCTAAACTGGTTAATTACGTGGACTTATTACATGTCGGGCCTGCCTGGCTTGAAAGAATCAGGAGTCACGACAACGTCAGGCAGTGCCCTCAGTTCCCCGCTCCCAGGCGGGCGGTCCGAGACCTCGGCAGCTTCGGGCTCTGGGACACGTTCGGGGCCCATTTCTTTCACAGAGGGCGTCCCGATGCCCTGACAGCTCTACTCAAATGTGCCTGGCTACACGCTCTCTCTTGCACACTCACACACACTTTTGAAGGGTTACTTGAAGTAGGTGTATGAATTTCCAGAGTAATTCCCAACACCTTTCCGGATAATTTCAACCCCCACGGAGGTTTCCAGCTATGAATGGCCTCAGGAAACCCACACCCAGGCCTAAGACCCGCCTCAATGGTCTACACGTTATAAAGATGCCACAAAGCTCATAAACACTGTGAAACGGTGTAAAAATGCACTCAAGTGGGATTCAGCGCTGTCTTATCAAGGAGACTTGTGGGAAGAGCGGCAGGAGCCTGCGGCCATCTGGTTGCCATCAGCCATACTCACTGGGAACGGGCTGTGTTTGTCTGCGTCAGCATCTCTGAACGGCACGGAATTCTTTATGCTTCTGCAGGAAAGAAAACAAAACACCTGGTGAGCCGAGGCAAAGAGGGAAACTGTGAAAGCAAACACAGACATTTTGAGACGTGGCTGTTTGGCGTATACACGACAGAAGCCCATTCTAAAAATAAAATAAGGAGTACCAGGCAAACTTGGCCCATCTCTGCTCGCCACCCGCGGAGCTCTTCCCGCTCTGCCACTTGACTGGCCCCCGTGGGGAAGGCAGGTCGCTGAACCGAGGTTTTCATGGGCGCGGGTCCCGTTGTTGCGATTTCCCTGGGAAGGCGACTGCGTTTGGGGCCAGTCAGCGGGCCCAGCACTCGCGGTTGAACTTGGGCCATTTCATACACCATTCCGTGATGCAAGTCATTTCTTACAACTCTACTCTTGAAACTTAGGCTGAGGATCTTGAGACAGAAGATAGGAGATCCTGTTTGTATTTATGTGAAATAATACATATGTAGGCGTATGCGTTTGGAAAGTAAACAAGAAGAATAGGTTGTTAAGAGGGTACTCTCCTGATTTAGCATCGCTGCAATCAAAAACGGACAGTGCGCCCAGGCCAGGTGGCTCAGCTGGTTGGAGCGTTGCCCCATACACCAGAAGATGATGGGTTCGATGCCCCATCAGGCCACGGACTTAGTTGCGGGTTTGATCCCCCCCACCCCGAGAGGCAACCAACTGATGTTTCTCTCTCACCTCACTGTTCCCTCTCTACCCGCCTTCCTCTCTTTCTAAAATCAATGAAACCTACCCTCAGGCGAAGATTAAAGAGAACAGGCAGGGTGTAGGCACTGTGAATTCTGATCAAAACAAAACAGCAACAAAAACCGAAAACTTGATTGCGCCGTGGTGGGATCTGGTATCCTGCACACCTTTTTTTCCCAGTGAAGTGAAGCCTTGTCTCTGTTTATTTCCTCGTTTGTTCACCGAGTCCCCACTAAATGCTAAGCACAGTGGCGGGAACTAGGGATAAAAGGTTTACTAAGAAATGGTATCTCCACGCTCCCAGAGCTGGGGGCGCAGTGACAGAACAGGGTGTGGAGACCAGCGCCGATGAGCCTGGAGTACCGTGGGGGCCGAGTGCCTACGGTTAGTCTGGGAGCTGGAAAGCTTCCCACTGGTGAGGACCCCTCCAACGTGTTTTGAAGGCTTTTAGACCAGACAGGATGGGAGCAAGGAGGGGCACAGAGCAGGCCGGGCATTGCTGCCGGAGGGGACTTCATGGAAGGATTTGTCAGGAGAAGAAGACACGGTAGGTCTGTCTCTGCCACCTGCTGACTGTGCCGGTGGGCCAGGCGTTTCTCGTGCCAGAACCCACTTGCTCACCTAAAAGTGGGGCCGAGAGTCGAGGGACAGACAATGTCGCATCTCTGAGCCCGACCTTTGGGACCTGGCTGCTGGACTCAGACAGCAGAGGTATCCATGACTAGCTCTGTGACCTTGGGCACGTGATTTCACCTCTCCAGAAAATGGGACGATACTGGTGGCTGCCTTACAGGGCTGTACTGACAAAAGTTCCTGCAGCGAGAACAGTGCCAGGTACCTTTCGGTTATCATCATTGATACAGAGCCACGGGTGGTTTTGTAGGACAAAAACGAGGCTGCATTTGAATGTGCTTCGTAAACCACAGAGCACTGAATAAAGGTGACCTGGTGCAAATTAGGCTTGAACCACAATGAGTTGTAGAAAGAAGAAAATACACTGCTTTTGCTTTTTCCTGAAAGAAGAATTTCCCTTCTACATTAGGCCAGGAAAATTCCCTGCCTCAGATGCTCTGGAAACCAGCCTTGCAAAGGAGGTTCCATTGAAGAGTCGTCGCATTGGGTGCTGTGGGTCCATGTTTGATGTCCAACACGCAGTGATGCTCTCAGCAGGGAGGGGGCCAGGGGCCTCCCTTCCACAAAAGCTGGGCATGAGGAAGCGATCGGGGCCCAGGGAGCTGGATGCATCTCTGCCTCCCTGCATCCACTTTCTGTCCGGTATTTCCCACCACCCCTTGCCCCCATGTCCTGGTGCTTGCTCTCTGCATCCACCCCCATTCATGAAAACAGGTGCTGACCCTTTATGGGACCCAGGCCAACACTGCTCACAGCTGGTTTGCAGGAGCTGATGTGGCCCATGGACCAGGCAAAGTTCTTCAGCTCTTGGATCCCTAAGAGGCTCTGCATGCGGGCCGGAAGCCTCCCTTCCCCCTCTCGCGAGAAACGTCCACAGCAGACGGGCGGTGTGCAGTGGAGTTAGGTTCTGCGGAGCTCAGGAGAGGAAGGGCGGCGGGATGCCGGATATGTAACTCTGTCTTGGCTGAACTGTGTTTCACCGACCAGCTACGTTGAAGCTCTAACTCATAGTGCCTGTGAACGTGACCTTGTTTACAAAGAGGGTTTTGCAGATGTTATCTTGTTAGGATGAGGTCATTAGAGCGGGCCCTGATCCGATATGGCTGGCATCCTCCTAGAAGGGAAGATGGCCATATGGAGTTGGAGGCAGAGGCTGTAGGGATGCAGCCGGGGACACCGAGGGTTGACGGCCACCAGCAGAGGAGAAGGAGCAGGGAAGGACCCGACCCAGAGCCTCGGGGGTGTCTCAGAGGGGCCCTGCAGACGCCTTGCTGGCAGGCCTGCAGCCTCCAGGACGGGGAGTGAACGCACTTCTGCAGTTCTCAGCCAGCCGGGTTGTGTGTTTGACTGCAGCGACCCTAGGAGACTCATGCAGCCCCGCAGCCTGCCCCGCCTCTGGGCGCTGTCACCCGCAGGCCGGCCGTCAGAGTGAGAATGAGGCCGGGCTAAAATAGGCTCACCTGCCAGACAGGACCTGCCTCCGGAAGAGCAAGGAGGAAAGCCGCAGGCCCTGGGGCGGATGGTGTGCTCCCAGGGACTGCCCCGCAGCGACAGAGCGTGATGTGGGGAGCATCACCTGGACCTGCAGCTTCCACGGTCTGGCCCCGGGATAGAACGTGAGTGAGCTCTGGGATGGCGGGGGGATGGGGGGTGGGGAGGTGGGACAGAGACTGCTGTGGCCCAGAGAAATGCGGCGCGCCCCCGCTAGGTCCCAGGCCAAGCGGCCTGCGTTAAAATCACGTCCAAGTGATTCTGAGGGGCAGCCCTAACTTATCATGCACCTTAAATGTAGGCATGGGGAAACGGAGACTCAAAGACACTAAGTGGCTCATTTTCCTAGCCGGCTCAGGAGACGGCATCGCCCAGGAGCCGAGAATGTGGGTGTCCCCGAGGAACATGGGTGGCCCAGCACCCCTGGGTGGCGGGTCTCTCGGGTCCTCGGTGGGTGGGAGACCTGGCTTCGCCCGCAGCCTGTGTCCCTGCCTTGCAAGGAAGGCAGGTCTCGAGGTGCAGAGATACCGGTATTGGGTATGTTTCTAAAAGAATTTGTTTGGAGCTCATTTGTCCCATGGGTTCTGCACTAGTCACGAGCAGGAAGCACCTTCCCTTTCAGGGAGATGCTCTGTCCCCTTGAAGGGGGCGTTGGTCATTGGAACACAGGGGCAGCCAGAGCTGCCCCCCGGGCAGTCATCGGAAGGGTCGAGGTTGGATACGTACGATTTAATCTCCTGGCAGATCTTGGCCAAGAACGGGAGTGAACAAATGTCAGAACTGCTTCTGGAATGCTTCTGGAGGGGGAAACAAAAAAATAGCGAAAAGAGTTGTTTAGCTCAAGGAATGGCTCCCCAGTTTCCAGAGGCCCTCCCTTTCCTGCTGGCTCCAGAGCTGGGATTTCAGAACGCCCCTCTCTCCAGAACCTGGGCCACCCCGATCAGCTAAATTCACCTCTCGTGCCTGGCCCCACGCTGCATACTGGCTCCAGCCTGAGCCTGTGTTCAGGCTCCTCCCCCCTCCGGAGGGCAGCCCCGCCCTCCCACCCCGCCAGCATTCCCACCTTCCCCTGAGTGCCTTCACCCGTCCTTCCCCAAGGGACCGGCCCACTTAGGTCTGATCCCAAGGGACCGGCCCACTTCGGGCTGATCTACGCAGACAACCAGATTCCTCTTCCTCACTACACTCCAATGCGTTGGAAAAGGACTTGAACATGAAGGATGTTTCCAGTAAAACCATTCCCTCCTGTTAGACGAATGGGAAGCAGCAGCCAGGATGGGCCCCCCCACCCCCGCCCCAGGCGGGGGCAGAGGACAGGGCAGGCGCGAGCGGAGGGACTGCAGTTCCCTAAGCCTCTCCAGCTCTGCGACACATAAAAAGCCTGGCCTTTTGCTAAGTCGTGCCTCTAGAAAGATCGTGGTGTCTATGCTGCTTTGCTGTTTCCCCCAGAGGAAAGGAAAACACGACAGGGCAGACTAAGTTAGGGATGACCGTGTATCCGTGAAGGGAGAGACACCGCCGACTGCGGCCAGCCGGTGCCCGGGACCCCTGCTAACCTCAGGGTTAACCTCCAGGCCCGTTGGCAGCTGCAGACCTGGAGGCCTGATCCCAGGGTTTCTAACCTCAGCATTTTTTTTTTTTTTTGCCATTTGGGGCCAAGTAACTCTTAGCTGTGGGCTGTCTTGTGCATGGTAAGCTGGTAGCAGCGTATCTGGTGTGCAGCCACTGGAGGCCAGCAGCCCGAAAAAGTCCCCCGACAGTGCCGAATGTCCCTGGGAGAGGACCGCATGGCCACTGGCTGGGAACTACGGAAGTAAGGTGCGAAGTAGGGGACGGGGGTGAAAAGGAGGGGTGATCAGAAGGTGGAGTCCCGAGACCTGGTAACCGGTAGAGATCGGGACCGTGGACACGCCGTAAAACGAAGGCACGCCAGCATGAGATGCGCCCCAGCGGTGCTGGCAGTTTGGAAATGTGGACACGTTCTGAGACCAGAGGTCAACGCCAGGTGGCACTGGGATGTCTCAGCTGCTTCTGCACTGTAGTCTGACGGCCTTGGTCTGATAAACACAGGACAGCAAGCGGGGGTTCGAGTAAAGGGAACGGCAGTGAATGGGTGAGTGGGAGGTCAAGGCGAGAGTGACTGCTCTCTGCAAACAGCCAGCCTGAAGCGGAATCTCTGCGCGGTGACGTGCTTTTCAACTGTTGTCGGGAGTTACTTTGCTTGGGTTTACTTGGTCTGGGGTGGCGCTGGGACAGCAGCAATGTTGACGCAGGGGTGTCCAACCTTTTGCCGTCTCTGGGCCACACTGGGAGAAGAGTTGTCTTGGGCCGCACGTTAAATACAGGGTGACATGTCATCACAAAAAAATTCACAGTGTTTCAAGTAAATGTACGATTTTGTGTTGGGCTGCATTCATAGCCATCCTGGGCTGCGCATGGCCTATGGGCGCTGGGTAAAGGCTTCCCAGAAGATTCTATTGCGTAGATAGGTGTCAGTTCAGGGCCACCCTGCGCGGCACCCCTGGCTGTGCCCTGCGCGGTTTGGGCGCCTCCAGAGCCCACGATAGGAGAGGTGCGGCCTGGAATTCAGTGCCCAGGAGGCCTGGGAGAGGGCTGCTGACACGGCGGGAAGGCAGGGTGGGCACTTGGAAGTAGCTAAACCTGGATGTAAACGGTGAGTTTCTCCCTCCCGCACTGGGTGGGGCGAGCCAGTGACTTACCCTGTCTGACCCTCCGTTCTCCCATCTGTGCCACGGGGCCGACCCCGAGGGCACACTCTCTGCTCTGTAGGCGTGTTTGTGAGCCCGAAGGGAAGGGGTCCCGTGACTGGGGTTCTCGGAGCCCTTCGAGGCCAGCGCTCTGCCCAGGCCAAGGGAAGTCGCCCTGCGGAGGCTCGCGGGGCCTTCGGCAGGTGCAGACCTGCTTGGGAGCCTGGGGCTCCCTGCGGGAGCACAGACAGTGCAGTGCTTCCCCCCGTCTGGGTTCGCACGGCCCGCCGGCTGTGCCGACCCCACAGGCAGCCTACTGTGCGCGTCTCTCTGCATGCCGGCTAGGTCTGCGGCTCTCAGCCGCCCTGGGGAATTCACTGCCGCCGATATCCTCTGAGCTGTTTTCACGAAACGCTTATTTGCATTTTTTGATTATTTTTTTTTCCTTGAGAGCTTTAGTCTGGAGGGTAAATAAATTGGAGGGTTTTTTTTTTGAGAAGTGTATTATTGTTGAATTGTTCAGTAGAATTTGTGTTTTTTTTTGCTTCCTGCAAGAAATTATTGGAATCCTAGCCCGTGAATTATGCTCGCAGTTCTGGTGACAGAAATAGCAAACTGTAAAATCCTAATTAGCCTTTGAGTTCATGCCAAGGCAGTTTGTGCCGCGTGAAGAAAACAATGTCCTGAGAACAAGTGTTCAGACGCCTGGAGAGAAGAAGAAAGGACGGATCGTGCTATGTTCTCCAGCTCCGCTTAGAATTCTGAAGTGGCGGTCAAGGGTTTCAAGTGGCATTTCAATTTCTTGTTCCATGGCTTGAGCAGATGAGCTACACTAGCTCCAGTTGGACGGGAATTATTCACCGAATTAAATAATGATCAGCAAGGCAGACACAGTGAGGGATTGATAGATCGTGGAGGAGTGCCTGCATAGTGTCATGAAACATGCGTCTGCCTTGTACATCAGAACCCAAACGTCTCCTCCGCCTCCCCCTCCCGCCCCTTGGCCCCCCCGCCACGAGTAGTGTTGCCTGATGAGGCATTGCACTGGACAGACTTATGCTACATAATTATTTACCGTTTATCTGAAATTCAAATTTAACAGGGCATCCTCTATGTGTATCTGCTAGATCCAGCAAGCTGAGCAGGAAGGGATATTCCTTCCCTTTATTTTCACGAGGCCAAGCCAATCCAACCTTCACAGCAGTGCATGCTGGGAGTGATGGGCCGGCCAGCAGGGCGGAGCCGAGGACGGGCATCTGGCCCGTCTCCCTGTCTCTCCGAGGACCACAGCCTGGCTCAGGGCTGGGCACTGAAGGACACACCCTTTTTCCAGTCTACTCTCTTGCTTCCTTTTCACCGGGGGCTGATTTGTAACCGGGGCCTAAGTCAAATGCTTGACTCCATGATAACTGATTTGAGCGAAACATTCTCTCTGTGGAATCAAAGTATTATCACAACGAGGACAAATTAGGGAGAGGGATAACCATGTGACGACTGGACTAGTACCTACAGGGTGCTTGATGAGTCCCGGGCATGACACCGTGTGCTTCACACACTTCAGCTCTCTTAGACCTCACACCCATGCTTGGGGACAGGGACACTGTTACTGTCCCCATTGTACTGTTGGGAAAACTGAGGCTCAGTCTAAGGTCACACATTTAGAAAGCGGAGGAATGGGAGGACATTCAGCCTCCTCCAAAACGGCCGACCGGAGAGAGCGCAGGTCTCCGTGGGCGCCAGAGGACATCGGGAGGTCAGGGTACAGTTTTGGTTGTCATGCCTGGGGAGGGCTGGATAGGGATGCTGTCATCGAGTGGGTGGGGGACAGGGACGCTGCTAAACAACCTACTACGCACAGGACGGTGCCCACAACAAAGGACTATGAAGCCCAGGACGCCAGTGGTGCCGAGGTTGGGAAACGTTGCCGTAGAGAGAAGAGACGGGGAGGGGAGGGAGCTCACGTCCCTACTTGCAGCCCCCAGAGCAGCCTCAGCCTCCGAGGAGTGAGGACCGGGGCCGGGTGCCCTCGGCTGGGAGACGGCTGGCCCTCTACCCACTGCGGGCTTACCAGAGTTGGAGACTTCCTGACCATCTGTCTTGCCTTCTCCAGGGTGAATTTCCAGGGTTCCTATAAAGACAAAGTCAGACAGCATTACTGCGTGGGTCTTGTCTTTTCTTTCTGTGTCTTTTTCAAGGTTAGGATTTTTTCGAGTCTGTGAGTTTGGGACAAAGAAATGATTCCATAACTTCGTGATAAGACAGTTCTCAGGGAGGCAATTTCGTGTTAATAACGATCTCCAGGAAGGGGCTCCCACGGTGCCAGGTGTCACGCTAAGTACTTTGCAAACATTACCTTGTTTATTCTTCACGACAGCTCGGGGAGGTCTGACCTTTCACGCATGAGGAAAAGGAGACGCAGAAAAGCTAAGGAACCGGCTGCTGCCGGTCTCCGAGCTGGCGCCCAGCAGGCAGACACTCTGTCTGAATCCCTGCCTCCCTGGGAGTGAGGCTGCACCGCCTTCCCGAGCACCGGCTTGTCCGTGTGTCTGGAAGACCCCGGGTGGGAGGCGCCCCGGCCGACCTGGGCCGCAGTACTGGGCGATGGTTGGCAACTCCCTCTCCATCCCTCCTTCCCTTCCCTTCACCTGGCTCAACAACCCCTTCTTCTGACCATTTCTGGAGCACCTGAGCACCTCTGAGTTTACCCTGCTGCGAGTACAAAGTTAGCTAATCAATCCCCATAGCTATTGTTGTGGAATTCCATGTTTGTATATTTGTAGGAGGGTTGGGAGAAAAATAACCGGGTTGTGGTAAGGGATGGAGAGTATTTGCCCCCAGCACTGCCTCCCAGCACTTTCTGTCCCCCATTCTCCACCCCCAACCCCATGTCCTGGCCCTGCCTCCTCCCTCCTTGGTCTGCCCCTTGGACGGCACTCACGGAGCGTGGGGGACGGGTTCCACCCCCAGCTCTGCTCTTTACAAGCTGTGTGTCCTTCCATTGGTTCAACTCTGCTCCTTAGGAGGATAAAAAGCCCTGCTTTTGTCCTGTGCAAGGTGGGGTTTACAGTGACCACCCGCCCCCTCGTAAGGGGCCGTGAGGGTTACAGGCCGTCGTTTGAGTGAAGCCCCTGGCCCCGGGCCTGCCCCCCATCATCCCCTGCTCAATCATGGGTGTGTCTTTTTAAAGTATCTTCTTCAATTACAGTTGACACTGGATATTATTTTGTATTGGTTTCAGGTGCACAGTGTAGCGGTTAGACAGTCATACGACTTACAAAGTGTCCCCCCGATGTTTCCAGCGCCCCACCTGGCACTGTGCACCGTTATTGCAACATACTGACTACATGCCCTGGGCTGTGCTTTGCCATCCTGTGACTACTTTGTAACGACTAGTCCATACTCCTCAGTGACTGGAAAACTTCACCCCAGTCAGCAGGGAAGCTGGGGTTCTGGGAGAGCATCACAGTTCCGACTCCAGGTAACTGAGAAGGTTGTCGCTGCCTTGAAGCAGAAAAAAGAAAAAGGATCCTGGAATGGGACTTCAGAGCTGGCCGCTCAGCAGGAGGGGCCTCTTGGGAGAAGCTGGCCCTTGCTGCTGATGGGTGTTCGGGACCGGAGGCCCCACGTGACTCCCAGGTGGTTCTTTACCCGGGAGAGGCCTCCCCCACCCTGGAGCCTGCTTGTCTGCAGACCTCAGCCATGCTGCACGAACACGAGCAGGGGAGGGAGGGCTCAGGGTTGGGGTACACTTTCCAAGAGCAGCTTTAGGAAAGAGGGCTGCAGAGCCAGCTGCCGCCCGCCCTCTGCGCACACGGCGGCTGCTGCCTCTGAAACCCTCTCTCCTGCTGTCTGCTCCAACTCACACTCCTACGGCTCAGGTTCAGAGGACGGCGCACCACGGCTCTCAGGGCAGAGGCAGCAGCCCCTGGCACCTACACTCACGTGTTAGCGACGTGGAGAAAGAAGCCGCTTTGCAGGTGGGCCTGGTTGCCAGGATCCCTCCTGTGTATGTTTCTTAAAGCACCGAAACACTGCGGTGTGTCAGGGGGTGAACAGTCGTGTTCCTGGGGACTCGAGGGTCCCCATCACAGCCCAGGCCACCCAGCCTCTCCCAAGGACTCCCCAGACGTCTTTGGGATCAGTCACCAAGGTCATGGTACAGCCTGTGGGCGCCTGCAGACCACGCCCAGCCTGCATTCCGATTGGCTGGCAGCAGGACCAGGCCAGTCCGTGGTAGTCCTCGCCTTTCAGAAAGACGTGTTAAACAGAAAGACTGCTTAGGGAACAGCCCCGTCGAAAGACCAACCCTACTGGAGGCAGCTCTGGCTTTCTCTGGAAATTCTAACGTGTCCCGGAAATTCTCCCATTGTGTAAAACAAACATCTCTGGCAGGATCACGATGACATTAGATCCAGGGGCACACTGCTGTTTTGGAGTTCTTTCTGGCTGCCCTAAAGGTCAGCCTAAAGGTCATTCTCGTTCTGCACAATATTGACACTGGACGGTGGGGCCCCTGCTTCTCTGCCTGGGGGTACCCCTGTGCATTTGACAGCTGGGATCAAGATCCATGGGGCCTCACACAGTCCCTGCTACATAGTAGGTGCTCAGTAAATATGGAAATAAAAAGTGAGAGAAAACATTTATGACATTACAGCAAGCAACGGCAACAGGCTACCCAATTTTATAGACCCAGAAGAAATCCTGCACAGAAATATGCTATGATAATTGTGGGCGATAGTTTTCCTTCTGGGTCTTTTCTGTGTTTTCTAAATTTTCAAGAATAGGTACACATTCAGCAATCAATGCTTTAAAAAAAAAAACCCAAACCAAAAACCAAACACAATACATGTTGCCCTGGTTTTACTGAAGTAGAAAACGATGTGTTCCCAGTGCAGGGATGCAGTGAGGACCCTGGCGATTTGGGGGTGCACACACATCCGCTCCCCCCCCCCCGAGTTTCCACTGGGCAAGGAGACGGACCAGGAGCCTGTACAGCAAACAGAAGTGGGGGGAAGCGGAGAGGGGCCGTGGCAACCTCTCCCTAGGAGAGGGCCCTTGGTTCCCCGCGAGAGAACTGACCTGATTTTAATGCAGCTCAGTTCTCTGCGGGGGGGAGGTCCGTGGTTAGTGAGGGAGAGAGACAGGCAGCATCAGTCAAGTGCCAGGGGCCGCACCTAATGTCCTTCGTGCGGGGTCCGACTGACACTCCTGCGGGCCTGGCGGAAACACCGAGGGCAGCTTCCTCAGGACCCGGCCTGACCACAGCGCCGCCGCCTCCCCCGGCTCAAGCATGCCGATACCAACAGAAAGAACACATCTAGACGGAGGGCTGACCTTTATTCCCCAGAAGAAAAAACAAGTAAGGACTCAGAGACATTTGGGAAAACTCAGTAGTTGGCTCGTCTTAATGGCAGGAAAGGAGGCGAAAGGCCAGCGAGTGGAATGAAGATAATTATCATTCCTTGGTGACCGTTCGTGGTTGGCGACCCAGGGTCTAAGCTGTCGCTTCTAAAGGATGAGAACCACGCTTTCATCTTCTTTAAAAGGAAACCTTTAGACTCGGCAGGGGCGACCCGCCTTCTGGCGTCTCTGTGCCACACTGGAAGAAGAAGCGTTGTCTTGGGCCGCACATGAAATGCGTTGTGACACGTAATCACCAATAACTCTCGTCACGTTTTAAGCAAATTGACGATTTTGTGTTGGGCCACACTCCCAGCCATCCTGGGCTGCATGCAGCCCGAGGGCTGCCGGTCGGACACCCCTGCTGGAGGGCGCACCTGTAGTCGCTGGATGAGGAGGAAGTCTGGGGTCGAGGGGGACTGTGAGCTGGGCAGAAACGCTTCTGGCTGGAAGCTGAACAGATGTTAACGACACCAGCAGCTCCCCCCCCGCCCCGCCCCCCAGCCGTGAGGGACTTGGCGCTGGGAACGCCCGCTCCATCCCGCGATCTGCGCTGGTCGCGTCTCCTCGGCCCCTCCTTCCTCTCTCCCTTGGGTGGTCGCGCATCCTTCTCCCTGCTGCAGGCCCCCTTAAGGGTCTGTTTAGCACGTGTGCACGGGTTGCCCGGGAAGCGGTCTCGGAGGCTCATGGAGATACAGCTCTCAGCCTGCAGGCTTGTAGCTCGAAGAGCCGTGGGTAGGTGCACCGGATTTCTCTGTCTGAGAGCTTGGGGAATTCCAAGGACGACAGGGCACCGGGCCCTGGCAGTCTGACGGAGGAAAGGCCGACCCTTTGCTTGATCGCCAGAGAATGCAGAGGCGCCCATCCATGGTGGCCCATGGAAGACAGGGTCCGGCAGAAGCAGCGCCTGCTCCAGTGGGGAGGGTAGGGTCATCGTATGGGTGTCATAACGCGCAGTTTTAATTCGGACACGTCGCTGAAAATGTCATACGGTGTGCTTGAGGGTGATGATACTGTGTTGTAGAATTACAGGCCGATGGTTTTGTGATACAAGATTTTGTAATAGAAAAAGGGGGTGTTATTTGTGCCAGACCCTGTCTAATACTTTTTGTCTAGAATGATTTAAGGGCCAGCCCACACCAGGGGTAGCCCAGAGTCTTCAGACGGGGCAGAGGCTTGGTGACGACAGCTCTCACTCCCCAGTGTGGTGATGGCGCCGGGCCCTGGGCTCTGACGCGGATGGGTGAGGGAAGGACAGGGCCACACACGCATATTGCTGGGTCTGCCCTCTGCCACCCATCAGCCCAATGGGAGTCCCTGCAACAGGAAGCGAGTTGCCAAACCTAGCACTTGGCATGTGAGTAAAACTTCCGTTTTCAGCGGAAGCTTTTTAAATGTGTTGGCCACTAGATGGTGGTCTCCGTGTCCTTTCCTAATTTAAAGTGAGTATGGACTCCAGAGTGTTTGCGGTTGGAACCCCAGCTCTGCCATTTACTAGTTACGAGACGTTGGACACGTTACTTAAGCACCTGGAGCCTCAGTTTGCTCATCTGCAAAATAGGGATGACGATGACACTTTGTGTGTGTGTGGAGATTGAAGAAGATAGTACTTAGAATAGGGCCGTGCATACAGTAAGCACAACGCTAGAGTAAACAACAATCAGTGCTTTTATTTTGGGTTGTTATCACCAACAGACAGGTGGGAAAATTAAAATAGTTAAAACAGTC